ATAAGATGTAATTACAAATTATCCAATCTGAGAAACACTGTCTCAATATACTCTTTGCAAATATTAAGGTATATGTTAAATAATCAACTTCCTAAATACTAACTATTCAACTTTCTAAATATTATCAAATCCAGAACAAAATGTTTTAATAATTAAAAAATAAGACATAGTACCCATCTCATTTACTTGACTGGAAGGGTGTTATTTCTTTTAGGGAAAGGAGTGTGTTTACTAGCATTAGATCTAAGTTTAATCTTTAATTTTTTAGGGATGGGTGGGTGGGTTTGTGGGAATAGTGAAGACAGGGAGTGAATGGATTAATTCAGAACAGGAAGCAGAAATACCTCCACCTTGCATCACTGTCTACCATCTCTTCTCAGCTTCACATAACTAGTGTTTCTCTGGACTCTTTCAATTATAAACTCTTTTGATGAAAACCATGGCATAATAGTTCCATGAAAATGTAAAGGGCAAATGTAAAAGAAGTCTGAAAATAGCTACTTATCCATTGTGGCCTGATGTATAGAGATTTTAAAACCAATTTCTTCAGACTCACAGAATAATTCAGAGAAAGGCAGCGACAGAGACAGAGACAAAGAGACATATGCAAGAATCATTCAGCTAGACTGCATTCCTAAAGCAATTGTAACTCCCTGCTTTCTCAATAGGAGTTCAGAAATCCTGAGCCACAGTTACAATGGCTTCTTTTCACAAAGAATCGTTTTACTCTTACAAAGTTTTTCCTTCATCTATCCCTCTACAATTTTGAAATTCAGAATTTAAATTAAGTCAAATACTACAAATCCTTTGCAATGACCTTTGCAATTTCTGAATTTCAAAACAGCAAAACATTAGAATTCATTTAATTTTATACTTATAAAGGAAGCATCTTCCCATTGTAATCTGAATTATTCAAAGAAAGGTATATCTTTAGAATATTCGGAAGCATTTTAGGACCATGTATTATTATTTTTCACGTAATTATTTTAAGTGAGTCTTTAAAATGACAAGGAAAGGGGTTTTGGTATAAATATTTATTTTGCCCCAGATTAAAGAGAAATACACTAATTATGGTCCAATCTATTAAAATAGTCACCTGCATCTCATCTAATTTGGACTGAACATCTGGAGGGAAGTCCCCTGCTCCACAGTTAAATGGGTCAAAAGGTTCAGCTCCAAACAGGTCCCGTTCTGTCAGGAAGAAAACACAATAAGCGAAATGACAAAGCACGAGTTTTATTTCAAAAAACGAATTATGATTAAAAGCACAGATTTAATTATAGCGTAAATAAAATATTTATATGATTGAATGAACCACTAGGCACTTATACTTCATGTTGGGATTTCTTGAGCTAAGAAAGCTTATATTCATTGTATATTAAAAAGTCTCTGGTCAAGCAATGGTTTGTGTTCATCATCTTGTCATTTGGAATGCTGAGGTTGTAAAAAAAAAAAATTAAACTGAAAAAAAAAAAAAACAACCCGAACTGAAAAGTCTATGTGGCCAAAAAGTTATTAACCTTAGTACTTTATGCACCTGCAATAATGACTTCTTTAAAACTCAGAAAATATTTGACAGATGAGATATTATAGCAACTGTTTTACTAAAATTAATGAAATGCCCTTGAGATTGCCCTAATTCCATTTATTGGTGTCTTGCAATACATCAGTAAAGGAATATGAGGGACTTAGTAGATCGGCAGGTAGTTTTATACATAGTTTATAAACTTCTATCTCAGGTTTTATTGAGGAAAAGTTTAGATATTGTTATCTCATGTGGTGTGAAATGATATAATTTCATAGATAACAATAGATCAGTTTTAAACAAAAGTTCTCAAATGCCAGTAATAAATTTCTGACCTAAAATATAACAAGAATGCAGGACTAAGCAGCTCCCTACATAGATGTCAAACAGCTCCTACTTTACAAGATGATTTTGTCACTAAAAAAGTATTACAGTTAAAATATCAGTAATTGGTAGAAATTAAGAATTTTCTTTCTTCAGAATCAATTCAAATGCCATTTTCAATTAGAAAAAAAGGAAACTTTATATTCTCCAAATTGAAAGCTATGTAAGAAACCATATTCTCCATAGTCACTCAATTACTCTCAATACCAAAGATCTTATCTATCTAGCTATAACTTTTCCTAGTTCCTCATATTAAATAAGTGAATAAGAGTAAAACACTCAGAATTTCTGGCACTGGTGCTACATAAATAAGGCACACATAAGTGAGGTGGAAGCAGGACTACAACAGTCACACTGAGCCTAAAATATAATGCCGTGCTGTTGTTACCATATGCCTATACTTCATGTTGGGATTTCTTGAGCTAAGAAAACAAATATTCATTTTATGGTGTTAAAAAGTCTCTGGTCAAGCACAGTGGTTTGTGTTCATCATCACATGGTATGTAACTGATAGGGATTAAGACTTCTGTTCTGGCAATAAGCCATAGTTGAGAGTACAGAGGAGCATTTCCTAGAAGGTCATGGTAAACACAAAGGGACTAGCATATTGAACAGCATTCTACACTGTTTGAAAGAAATGAATGAATGAAGGGGAAATAGTGCCGATCAGAGTACAAGTTTTCACTGCATATTTTATTTATTGAGCATAACATACCTTGTATTTTGATAAACAATGGATTAAAATAGTGAAGACAGAACAAAGTCCTTTCCCTCAGAATTTATATTTGATCAGAGAATACAATATTAAAGCCTGGATCATACACAAAGGGGAGACAGAGTATTCACTGGAAGTGAGGAATCAGGGATCAGTTATGTTCTGGAGAATGGCTACATTCTCAGGCATTATAAAGACAATCTAAAGGGACAGCATTGTAGTTTTTGTTGTCTTACATTTAATAGGTAATAAAAAATAAATGAATACCATTAAGAGTCCATTTAGGAAAGGTCTTTTAAAATTACTCTGCTAAAGTAGAATTTTAAGCAATATAGTAATTAAAATCAGTTTGAATGATTTATCATTGAATTGTGGTGTGTCTGTCTACCTATCCAGCTAGCTATTTCCTACTGCTAGTTTTCCTTGGTAACATTTTATCTAAAGTCCTGAACTAAATTGATTTCACACTTTCAAAGACCACCCTAATAGATAATTTTTTTCTGAATATCTTTGAATCTATTCACCTTTGTCATTATACATCAAAACTTGTGGTAAACTCATTCATTCTGTGTAGAAAACAGAATAGTGGTTGCCTGGGTTTGGGAAGGTGCATCTCTAGTGTTTGTCAATGAAACAAATGTCTTATTTAAGTCATGGACAATAAGATTACTCAGCACAGTCCTAAACAGGTTAAGTGAATTTTAACTGTAGTCCAGATTCACATACATAAGCAAGTGAATAATTATTTTGTATATAGTACTTTTTATATAGTAGTTTGTGTTTGCATTTTATATATAGAAATAAAACATTTCATTTTTTAAATCTTTTTGAGACAGGGTCTCCCTGTAGCCCCAGCTAGCTCAGAACTCACTATGTCAAGCAGGCTGCCCTCAGTCTCACAGAGCTCTTCCTGGCTTTCCATCCCACCACACCTGCTCAATAAAACCTTTTATTATGAAAATAAATCAGTGTGTAAATCAACTCTAACATATTTTTAAAACACAAATTCATTTCATTAATAATTAAAGTGAATCTGTGATGAGATCTAAGTGGAAGACAGCTAAAGGATGAGATGTAGAAATGTTCATAAGGACGAAACACACTCCATCATATCAGATAGTGGGAACATAATCTAAAATACACTAGTACAAGACTATTGTGGATCTCTTCTTGAAAAATTTTATTGAGCAGGGCTATCCATGGTGAGCTGTGGTGGAAAGACTGCCTAGCATGTGTGGGGCCTTGGTTCAATTCTCAGCATCATGAAATCCAAATAAAGAATGTATTTCGTTTTGACAAAAATATATAGAGAACTGGGTGTGGTGACACATGCCTTTATTCCCAGCACTCTAGAGGTGGAGGCAGGTGGATCTTTGTAGCATTGAGGCCAGTCTGGTATATGGTATACACAATGAGTTTCTTGCCATCTAGGGCTACAGGGAAACCCTGTCTCAAAAGACTAAAATACATACATATATATAATATATAAAAATTATATTATATATTTAAAAGCATACTTTGACATACAATTTTGATATTCTAATTAAATTTATTAAATTAATAAATGTACAATATTGGAGACTCTAAATTATTTTAAATCTTTATAACTATACAATGTATTTATTAGCACGTACTATTTTCTATATATGTATATTATATAATGTTTAAGTCAGATAGCTATCTCTTCAAGCATTTATCATATATTCACAGTAAAGCATTAAAATTCATTCTTCTAACTTTTAGATATATACCACTGCTCCCTGTCTCTCTTTTTTTTCTCTACACCCTTCCCAGCACTGATTTTTTTATTCATTTTTTGTTAGCTCCTACTCTACCTGGAGTGACGTGATAGCTCATTGTAGCTTTCATAAGTATTGTCCTGATGAACAGTGATATTGAGCATTTTGAGATGCGTCACTGGCCACTGGCATATCTTCTTGGATGGAGTGTTTATTACCATTTTCATTCATTCAATATTTTGGCTATTGAGCTTCTCTATATATTTTGAATGCCAGATGTATAATTCTCAAATACTTTTTCCTGGGTTGTGAGTTGAGTCTTCACTCTATTCATTGTTTCCTTTGTGGGATGGAAGCTTCCTATTTGATGCAATATGACTTGTCTACTTTTGCAATTTTGGTGTGCTGCGGGGGTTTCAGAAAAAAAAAAAAAAAACAAACTTCCCTGCCCATCCTATATACTGAGTCTGAGTTGATGTTTTGAAATAATTCTATAGGCTGATTTTTAAAATCTCCAATGTTGTACATTTTCTTTAAAAATTAGTCCTCCAAAATGTAGTGAACAATCAACATGAGCAATGTACTTTCCCAAGTTCAACCAGGGAGAAACAAACTATAGTTCCTGCCATACACTAAAGACTTCAGCTGAAACTTTAGAATGGTATGTGCAATGTTTTGATATAAACTAGAAATGCCTATAATAAGACAGAACATACAACTGAATTCTTCCATTTGCATGGCTATTTTTTTGGCTATTAGGGACTACTTTTTCCATAACTGTGACAGGGCACAGATCAATACATAGACAGGGCTCAGAAAATGAACATCTACTAGATGCTTTCTAATTGACCAAAGGCAGACTTTGATATGATTTATAGATATGTAGGAAAAAAAACAATGTCTTTAGGAAATTTAAGATTAAAAACAATACACTTGCATAATGCAATACATAAACAAGTCCTAGAATGAACATTATTTACATATTTTTCACTAATGATAAATGAATGCCCAGTAACAAAAATATCTAAACCACTCTAGTAAACACATTACAAATGACTCAATTATGACCCTTAGCTACTTTTAACAAAGGTAAAAATCTCTTTAAATCCAAAACAACATAAATATATAATTGGATACTTTTGTTATGATTTAAATAGCTCTGTCCTAAAATATTACTGTTCATACAAGATTCAACTTGCAAACAGAGATGTTTGTTAGTATATTCTGAACTGTAATGTAAAATACAACTAGCCAAATTTGTCATGTATGTAAAAACATGACACTTGTATAATTAAAGGTGCTTGTGGGGTTTTTATGATGGGTAACTTCCCACAAAGTGTTGAACATTGAAAACATACCCAAGTACAGAGTGCAATGTTGATATATTAAGAGTGCTTACTGATCTCTGCAGATCTGCTTGGTACTGGTGGTGGCTGTGTGCCATTGCGTGTAGGTATTGGAGACTGTTGTGATATTGGAGAAAATGGAACCATGTCAAAGATGTCGGTGGAGGGAGACTTCAGTGTCACACTGCCTGCCTGCAATGATGATGACAGGAATCAGGGTGGTTATCCATGCTGATGTATTATCATCCTGAACATTTCATTCACATGTAAAGCACACAAACAACTCTGTGGAAAGGCAGACATACTTACCATTCAGTAAATGAAACGTAGTTAACTTTTGAGGAATTTGTGTGGTTCAAACTGATAATAAATGCTCACTTACAATAAAGCAGATAATAAATGCTCACTTAAAATAAAGCAATGGGAATTTGTATATTTTTTCTCAAAGATGATGGCAAAAATAATATCAATACTGTTGATGATATATACATAAGGCATACTAGAATTTTGTATGCCTGAAAATGATTGTCATTTGTCTGAGAACAGTACAAATATCTTAGAAAATATTTAATAGTAACAAAAAATTTCAAAATAGACATTGTATAACATTATTTTAAACAAAACACCTGAACACATCTAACTACTTCTTAATTACAAAAATTCAAAATCAATTAACACTTTTGTATTCTTAAAGGTAAAATATATTAATTTGTGTTTCTAAGTACATTGACAACCAACTGATGGTCATTGCAGTATATTTCATTCCTATAGAATTCCATGTTCTCAGTAATAAACAGCTACCTTGCAAAATAAGCTAACATTCAACAATGTAACAAACTAAATTATTAAATTATCTCATACAATGTAAGTTAGGACTGAGCAAAAGAAGTGAAATGAAAATGTAGCCAGGAATTAATGTAAAATTGGAGAATTATCAATTTTTCAAATAAGGTAAAATGTGCATGAATAACTGCCTATGTGGAAACCATCTGATCTGATCAGGAACAAAACGAAGGACTTCTCCATTTAGAGAAGGAATAGGCTAAAATTTTACTTTCCATGTTAGACTATGGAGAGAGATTGTCCAGAGTGGCTCATGGTAAAGGTAAAGTTCTCCAAATACATTCATTCTTCTGACTCACAGATGCTACAGATAATTATTTTTAAAGTTATTTGTAGAGAGCCAAGTCCCTGAGAGCCACTATTTTCTTGTCCAACTTTTAAATTCATTCTAGCCTTAACCTCTTTTTCACTGAAATCCACTAAAGCTACTTTTACTTCCTGCATTTATGACCCATTTCCAAGCCTTCTGCCTCTGATACTCCTGTTAAGTACCTGGCCTGTATCATCTTGTGGGGGTTTCTACACTATTACCATTCTCTACATGAAACTGCTTTCAAGGAACTAAATGAAAAAAAAAAAAAAAAGAATAGTGTACAAAGACTCCAGGTCTTACCACAGTAATTCAAGGCTACCTGACTTTTCACTACTATATAAATGACACATTCTACAAGAATTTCATTTTAAAATAGGGGGATGTATAATAAAGAGGGTTCTCTTCTTTGCAAATTACATGAGGTCTTGGAATGCTGCTCTCACTGACTGGCTGGAGCAGGCCACTTTTAGAAGGTGGTGGTATTAACCGTCCCACTGAGAGTCTGGAGTCAGGCGAGTTGGCAGGAGTGACAGAAATGGAAGACATGTTTAGACAGAGAGATGGATCACCACTACTGCGCCAGAAAGAGGATGCACATCTCTGAAACCCGTGTGGCACATGACCAGACACTCTGTGCAGCAGCTGTAAAGAAATGACAGAAAGAGAAACACACTAAGGAGAAGAAAAAAGGCATGAAGCAAGGAAAAAGCATGTGTGGAGACTGTTTGTAAAAGGGTGTTTTGTAAAAATTGCAAGATAATTTCACAATGAGTTTGTTAAATCAATATACATAGGTGAAATTGAATTTGTTTTTGTAATAGTTTCTAGATTCCTAGTTACTTAGTTTGATCATTTTTATTGAAACAGTATCACATTTTCATACTTTCAAAACAGAATTCACCATGACTTGAAAGGAAGATAGTAGAGACAGAGCTAAGAGAGTCTGACATGCATTTAGGAGAGTCTCAGTAATGAGATGGACAAGGGAAGAGTAGTAAGATGATTAGTTACTGGCCTGGGAGAAACTCTGGTAGGTAAGTAACTGATGGTAGAATTTTCTAACACGCTGTAATAAACAGTTTAGGTTTGATCCTCTGAAAAGTCTTTGTAACTATGATTAATGCTGATAGGAATATGCTTGCATTTTCACAGACACACAAGCAGCAACATCCAAAGATTCATGGGATGCACTTCTCTGTAAGCTAAGAAGCAGAACCAAAATGAAAAACCATGACTGCAGCCCTCATGCACTGAGAAATTGACTTTGGGGGATGTAAAGAAAGTTATTAAGAACCTCTTATAAATCAGAGAGATAAATAAAGAGCAAACAGTTCAGGAAGGGTCTGATATCAGTTTGGGGGTGACTGTTAGGGGCTACTCCCTGAGAGCAGACATTTTCTGTCCAGAGCTAAGTACTCTTCAGGCCAGCTGTCAGATGACACAATTGCAATTAACTCAACAAGCTTAAAATAAAAGTAATGACTGAGCCTTTATTCATTTACTTTAATAATAGAGGAGGTCAGAAAGAGGAGTCTGTTCCATCTCACCTCACTCCATGGTCCCCTTAAATGGCTCTGCAAGGACGGAAGTGTAAGTGGAATGGACACTGTCATTGCTGAGGGAGCCCAAGCAAAAGGTTCCTTATGGTTAGGTTTTTTCTTTTTCTCCTTCTCTCTTTTCTTCTTTTGACACAGGCCAGATAGAGGGAGAATAGAAAACAACCGATCATAGAATCATAGAGGAGAAAAAGTGTCAACAAGAACTCCATTATAGGGGCTGGAGAAATGGCTCAGTGATTAAGAGCACTGGCTGCTCTTGCAGAGGACCCGGGTTCAATTCGGAGCAACCACACAGCAGCTGACAAAGTTCTGTAACTGCAGTTCTTGAGAATTCGATGCTTTCTTTGACCCTGCAGGCATTGCATGACAACAGTGCACTTACACACATGCAGACAACATACTCATACACATAAAATTAAAAAAAAAAATGTTTAAAAGACCCCCAGTATAAACCAAGCTGGGCAGAAGCTGAAGAGAGGTCATGGCATGAGTGCTGAAGGAGGCCTTTGCATCAAAGCTAGAAATACAGAAATGAAGGATCTATGGTCAGCCCAGGAGGTTGAGTGCCTCACACAACTCTAGACTGTGAACCAGCTCAGAGAGGAGGGTAGATTTCCTGCTAGGTCTGCAAGTTGACCTCTGACCTCCACACACAGACTGCAGCACACAAGTGCTGACTCCCACACAATAAATAAGTGAACTGTAGTTAAATTTTCTTTAAAAAGAGATATTAAATGACTTTACAGTATTATTTATAAAAATAAAGGTCATTCAAGTTTTACTTTGTGCTCTCAACTTATTAGCAATATAAATCTTTAGCTTTGAATATAAAACAACTTCCATGATAAAATATGACAATTATTCAAAATTAAAATGCAAATGCAGGTCTGGGGTGATGTCTCTGTGGTTAAAGTGCTTGCTGATAAGCATGAGGACCTGAGTTTTATCCCCCAGAACTCACTTTAAAAAAAAAAAAAAGCAAAACACTGCAGCAGTATACAACTGTAAAGTCAGCAACAGGAGACAGAAATAGGGACAGTCATGGAACCACCCAGTTTAGACTCAATAAGAAGCTCCAGGTACAATGAGAGATGCTGTCTCAACACAAAAGAAATGAAGCATCACTTGCTATTGACCTCTGGTCTCTACAAGCATGTGCACACTTGTTCACAGGCTGCCCCCCCCCCCAGGTGCATATAGGAACATGTGCATACACCTTGATACATACAACACACAAAATAAAATAAAAAAAGAATTTGAATTCCTTTCCATTTATAATTTACATAGGAATATTTTAATTTAAAGTTTCTGGTTAAAACACTACAAGATTATAAATTACACTGAAAGAAATATAAGAATGGTACCCAATCTGTTCTAGCAGATCTTTCTTGATTTTCATGTTGATTCATACTTTTAAATTCATTCTTTCAGGCTTACAATACATCATTTTCTTTCTTTTTATTTTCCTTTATTTTTTGTGTGTGTCACTTTGGCTGGCCCTAGAATTTTCTATGTAGAGCAGACTGGGCTTAATCTCATAGAGATCAGCCAGTCTCTGTCTCCCAAGTGCTGGGATGAAAGGCATGCACCACCATGCCCAGCATGTTTTTTTGTTTTTTTTGTTGTTGTTGTTTTTGCTTTTGACATGATGTCTAACTATGTAACTCTGATTGGTCTGGAAATCACTATGCAGGCCAGACTGGCCTAGGACTTGCAAAGACCCACCACCCTCTCCATCCAAAGTGCTAGGATTAAAGGCATGCACAACCATGTCTGACTGAATGTCACTTTTTAAATAAGCTATAAAAGCAATGAATTCTCCAATCCAGAACTTACACCAAACTGGCCTCTAGATCCATTGTAGGCTCGTAATTTCATAATTGTGGGACTTGCTACCTTACAACAATTATATAATTCAAATGGTTATGACTAGCCATAAATCACAAAGAGAAAACTGAAATAAAGAAAGTTAAATGACTTGAGCAGGCTCTGCTCTGCAGAACTGGAATGGGAATGTATTTACTTCCCATTCTATAGAGTTTAAGTCTTGTGCATCATCTTTGTGCAACCAGCAATCCTGGGTAACGATCTTTTCTGGGCACCAAATGTTCTTGTACCAATGTTCATGTTTAAACTTTATGCTTTTGTTTAAAGATTCACATTTGGCTTGTGTAATTGAGAGTTTTCATAATCTGCTCTTGCCTAGTCTGACTTCAAGAGGAGTTGAGAAAGCACCAGAGAAAAACACATAAGCAGGTTTGTTTACCCACAATGAAATATACAATTTAGGTTTTAATTGGCTTATCAAGTCTAATCAGTAGCCTTTCAGTTTATTATGTAAAAGTAGAATTTTATCTAACACTGGTTTAATTGAAAGGGAGACATTTGCTTTACTCTGCAATAGAAACTCCAGGATTCCTTCAAACTATAATTTTACTCACTTAACTTTCTGGAAACAGCTTGATTTGTTTCAAAGCTTCAAGAGCCAGCAAAGTAAAATGTAAGCCCTCAAATACAGGAATTAAGGAGAAAAAATTTATTTAACTTATGCCCACATTTTATAAAAGAACAATGTTCTGGAGGTGTTTATGAGGAGGGCAGAATAAACCTTTTTGATTCAAATATAAATATAAGCAATACTACATGCAAATGCAATAAATGGAAATCAGATTGTTCCTAGATAATTAGTACCAAATGGTAGAAAACCCAACCTCTAATCTATTGCCAAACCACTAGAACACAGAAGAAAGCAAACAGCAAAGTCAAGTAACGGAAATTTCTCAGTGTGTCTAAATGATGCTTTAGCATACGGACCACTTTCTAAAACCAGTGAAAAGGTTTCCACAATCTCACTGCCATAGGAGATACATATTAAGGGCATTATCAAGAGTTACTTCATTTGCCAGTGAAGGAACTCGTGACTAAGCAACTGAATGCTGTTTAGGGGACATAAACATTCTGTGTTGGGATGGTCAACTCTGAAGTGATCTGAGGTGGGGGTGGGGGACACTTCTCAGTTTAACACACTAAAAGCTCTTTGAAAATATGATACCAAACTAATTGTATGCACAAACCCACCTATATCCTTTCATTTGGATAACAGGAACAATAATCCATTTCAGCATTTCTTTAGTTACTATATATACCACTGCCTCTATTTCTTTAACCAAACTGTTAGCAACTCCAATAATTTCTCTGATCTCCAAACAAGCAAACAAAATGTACAGAGTCTAGTTTTTAGAGTTATGAACTCAATAAGCTTTGACTGTGCTAACTATGGGGGCACTCAGTTTTATGTTCCGGCTATGTCCTGTTAAATTAACACCCAAGTTTCATAAGAAAGAACAGATACAAATTATTTCCAACTTAACAGAAATCAGTTTACTTGAAGCCACATGGCAAGCTGTTCCATAAAAGATGCTTATATTTTAAAATTGCATTTTATTATCATGTTTCTGTTTTTCCAATTCAATAGCTGAAATCATTTAGAAATCTTCAAAAGTAGGTACTCATAATTATAACAATATTTCATATTAAATAGTCAAAGGTAATTTTATTATTTTATTTTACTATCGGAAACTCAGGAATTTGTTTTAACAGATTTTGAAGTAAAGTTGCTGTAGTCAGTGCTATCACAACTTATCTCACAGCTACATAAATAAAATGGAAAATGAAAAATTAAAAATGAAAAAAAAATTAGTGATCTCTTCAGAAAATAAAAGCAAGTTAACAAAGAGCTATAAGAATATTTTAAAACATATTGGATAAAATGTATTATCAATTCATATTCTAAATATTATCACTTAATTTTACTTCAGTTTTAGCAGCCTAAATTGGTTTTATGGATTTACTATTGAGAATTAAAAAATTCTACGTTCTTTTTCATCTACACATCATATACTTGTAAGAAAAAACAACACACTCTGCTGAAATTCTCAAACCTGCAGTTCTTGGTTATTAACTGCATCATGTTCTTCATTAGGTCTCAAACTTATTCATCTTGCCTTATTGAAATTTTATACTCTATAACCAACTTCTCACCTCACTCAAGCCTCCCTTGTTAATCTGCCACAGACCTTGGGAATCATCACCTTGTTTTCCTCTTCTCTGAGCTGGTTTTAGGCTCTACATGTAAGTGAGATCATGTAGTGTTTGTCTGTCTGTACCTGGTTTATTTCAATTATCATAATGTGTCTCAAAGTCTAATTTAAAGAATATATACATCTTTCATCATATCATCAATATTTAAAATCATATGCTAAGTCATTAGGAGGTATACTTTTGCAAGTCATTTTTATGTTAAAGTAAATAAAAATATAAAAATAATACATGACAGACTTCTAAAGAAGTTGCAGTGATCAGTTCAGTTATTTGTGCAATGATCCATGATATATTTTCTACACATGAACTGAATGCAAAAGGTGACTTAGAGAAACTATTTCTTTTTAAATTCATCCTTTTACCTGTGGTAATTGAAGCATTTTTTTCACATAGACTCAAATTGAGATGAACACAGTTGAAGTAATTATTAAATGTCCCAACCTCCCAAGAGCTGATTCATTTTTAAAACTGACTTTTTAAACAATTCATTGTTTTAAATAATTGACTCGACAATGAGAGTTATTGAATAAACAAACACATTCACAGTCTGTGTTTCATTTATACACCAGTTTCCAGTTTCAATGTTTACCAAGTACAATGGTGTCTTAGCCAGATGGTCAGTGAAGCTAAAGCAAGGTCGTCTTGCCATTTTCCTGCCCCTTGCCCCATTTTCATAGCTTGCTTAGTTGATCACCAATTCATAATTATAACCTCAACCAAAATGCACTCTCTTTCCTGTTACCCAGTGTTAGTCAAGGGCAGTGTTTGTCTTGATTTACAAGGTCCGTGGGGGAAGGAGCAGTTTTATTAATGTGCCCGAAGCCTATTTAAGCCTTTCTCAAAGAGAGGATGTGTGGTGATTTTTCTTTGGGTTTGCATCTAAAAGAGTGATGCACACATTTTATTCCTTTGACCACATAAAGGCTGAATCAAAGCATATTGATGAATTCTAGAAATACGTGCCTTCCCAGGACCCCCTGAAAAAGTACTCCCCATACTCTTAGTTTATTTCACAGCAAGCCTTATAATAAGACTTTTAACAGGACTCAAAATAGTGTGTGTATTATTTGGGGACCCAAAGTTGGAGATGGAATTGAGTCGATGTTCTGTATCTTAAGAAGAAGAAAAAAAGAAGAAAAAAAAATAAGAAAAACCTTGATGGGAAGCAGAAAATGGAGGTAAAAAATTAGGACTATGACAGCGACTCTGGGACCCGAGGAGGCTTCACACTCAGGCTACTTATCATCTTCACAGAGGCCCTCCCTTGTACATCCAACCTCCCTCTGCTCCACCACAGCAGCATATTCTTACAAATGCTGCCAGACAATCGACATTCCTTCTCATCCTGGAAGATGAAAAAGTGGGTCTTCAGAATAAAGAAAAAATTGACCAATTTCTAGTGCATGCTTGTGTGAACCTCTAAATCCCACTTCTCATAATGTATTCTTTATGGTGATGCACTGCAGAACCACTCTAACATTAAATATAAAATTCAATATGTATGTACGCATAAAATTTGTCAAAATTCTTTAAAATTCTTTATATGTCTAATAATTGTGTTTATGTTCATATTACCATGCTGTAAGTAACATATTAAGTGTGTAAATACTCTTATTAACAAAGATTAGCAGTGATACAGATCATTAAACAGGAATAATTTTTTTAATACTTCTTTGATTGAAAAAAATTATTTTAAATTTCACCTCTCTCCTAACAATCCCCTTTGCCAAAACTACTGATGATAACGTCATTAGTACTGAGAAAATGATTTCAAAATCGTAACAAGTCAGAAATAAATAATTTAAGGACGAGTCTTAAGGGCTGGCGGAAAACACTCATCTTTAGTGTCTGATATCAAACTCTATCACTCCCAGAGGCAGCCCTCACTGTGTTACATAAGAAACCATGTGCAGAGGGTGCTCTTGTCCTCTCTCCTCTTGCTACAGTGAAGTTCGGCACTCCAGGGCTGGACTGCAGGGTTAATTATATCTAACCTTTGTAAACCATAATCAACAAGAATGAAAGACAGAATATGCCACAAAGGGAAAAGGCGTATTCCACCTTAAAACCAAAATGAGGTTTGAAATATTTTAGAAAACATAAGAGGAAAGAAAGAAACATGGAAATCACCTCTGGTCTGAACTACCAGTCTCCATCTCTATACATATTGAATTACTTTTTACAAACTGTTGTTTGAATTAGTGAAAAACTGGTGATCCAGAGGTATTTTAGTACCATAAGATGTTATTTCTAAGGAAAATATATGCCTATTCAATATACTTACTGGTGATGATGCTTGAGTTATTCTTAATCGGCTTTCCAAATCTTGTACCTTATTTTTAAGTTCCATATTTTCTGTTTCTAAATCTTGGATCTAAAAATCAAGCAATTATTGAACAGCTGGATTATTTTTTAGGAAAATGTTGGCTATTGTCATTGCTACATTAATAAATAACATTTTATACTATTAAAGGTTTAAATACTCTTTTGCTGTACAAGGAATTAAATTAAGTTGATAAAGTTTGTAAAATATCAAAAAATTCTAAGGCACTGGAAAGACATATTAACTTTAAAAAATATCATATATTTGTGCAAATTTTATGTTTCTAATGTGTCATCCCAGTGTTTTCTTGTTGCTGTGTGCAATGTATACCCATAATCTTGGAGAATAACCACAAGACAGTAAAACTTGCTTATGATGACTGAAGAGAGGCGAAGGGGTATAATTTAATTACAAAGGAATCTGATCTGCATGGGAAACCACTTACCCAGCATCTGCTGCCTCTGCTGCTCTGATCCCCATGAGAAGCATCAGGAAGTGAAATAAAGTCACATGAGAACACTAAGTTCTTGTGGGAATTCAATATAAAATAGTTAAAAGCTGTGCAGGGGATCAGGAATGAAGAATTAAAGGAACACAGTGAAAGCAGTTCCAGTCAGTGTGAGGGACATTTAATGGCAGGCTTTCCAAATTTGTTTGATGACATGGAAGCTTCCCTGTTTTTACATCATACAAATGTGAAACAAGCTTAATTTACTCACTCTTTTCTGCAACCCTGCAATCTGTTTTCTTGTATCCACATCTTTTCCTCCAGATTCTAGAAATTTCCTGTATGCCAGGTCAAATGCTTGGCCAATGGTTAACGTTATCTCTTCAGCCTTTGTAAAAAACACAGGATGAACATTGTGTGTCAGTAATAACATATTAAACTTATCTAAAATAAAAAAAAAGAAAAATTCACATGAGGTAGTCAGAGACACTAACAGAAAGGACAAGTGTGCAAAGCAGCCTGTGCCAGCACAGCCATTCAATGCCTCCTTAGCCACAAGAGTTAAAACAAGTGTAGAAATAGGAGACCACCAACAAATAGCTATTGAAGTTTAAAAAAAAGTACATTATCCATTTTTATTATACTTTTTCCTAGTTCTTTTTCTCCTTCTTTTAAAAAGAAAAAACAGTAGCTATTGAATGAATGCACAGTATCAAATTCAAATTCTCTTGTTGTTTTGCTATTTACTTTCTGTTCATAGTAAGAAATGCTTTTAAACCGTGGGCAGGTAAGTAAATGAATAGTAAATGAGTAAGTGGGTAGAGTATGGGGAGAACTTAAAGTAAGTCCTCTCTAAATAGAGCAACTGCTCCTTAGCTAATTGTTCCCTGGTAGAAGTGAGCAATTTCAACCAAGCGTCAATTCTTAAATATGTGAAATGAAACCAGAAATTTGAAATTTCATATGAAGACTCCCAATTTGAAGTAATGGAAAACAGTTCCCATTTTTTAAGAAAAGGATAACTGAACAAAACATAGCTGTCATCTGAATTTACCTGAGAATGCACTTTACAAGCACTGATTAATCAACAGAACCTGCTATATACACCCTAAGTCCACCAGCTCATCCCTTCTTCATCAGCATCTCCACAATTTCATGCCATTTGCATAAAATGCACATGAAACGTTGATTTAATTAATAGAAAGAAGTTTAATAAGGCATGAACTGATTCAATGAATGGCAAATGTAATATTTTATAGGATGCTTTTAATGATAGGAAATTAGTAATAACATTAAGTACAGAAAACGCCTGCTTTAATATACTGACATTTTGGTACTTTTAAATATTATGACCAATCAAAAAATATTTTATTATTAAAACTTCGATAATTAATATGGTCATTTTCACTTAAGGAAGGCTTTAGTTATTAAAAACAGAAATGAAAAATGTGTACATGAATTATATAGAAGAGCCACTGCATTTCAATGTGTATATGACAAAATAAACTACATTAAGCTACAATAAAAATATTAAGCAAATTTAAAGTGCCCAATATCAACTAACACTTGCCTAAAGATTCAAGTTAATATCTATGTTAAAAAATAACTATGACTATGTAGGGCTGGAGAGATGACTCAGAGGTTAAGAAAATGGACTTTTTATGCAGAGGACCCAGGTTCAAATCCCAGCACCAACATGATGGCTACCATCCCTCCATACTTGCAGTTCCAGGGGATCTGCCACATTTTTCTGACCTCCATGTGCACTGCACGACACAGGCACACTTAAATAATCAGGAAATATACTCATACACACAAAAAACCCTAACTATGAGGCCATTAAGATGACTTAGCACACTGCCAAGCTCGACAACCAAAGTTTTCCTCTCACGTCCACATATGCACCGTAGTAAGTGCATGTCTACGTATATACACCACCTCCTGCACAAAATACGAACAAACAAAAAAATGTTAAGAACCTACATAAGAAAATTCAATAGTATTAGAGACCGGAAATTTGTGTAGTATTAAAAAGTCATAAAATAGGCTACAATGCGTTGAATTCTAAATGAATTTCTGTTTCTAACTTCAAAATTGGGAGTAACATAATTGTATTTATTGTATACTCAAAGATATGGCTAATTTCCTACATTTGAAGTTATGAGTTCAATATGTCTATTTAATAAGGTGCTAGGTTATATTCAGATATTCAATACGTGTCTCTAAAATTGTTCAAATAATATTTATTCACCATTAATAATATTCAATTTCATATAAAATATTCACAATGTTAAATTTGAAAATCACATTATCTTTTTATAATAATAAATACTTTTTGAGCATTTGGCTATCTTATAAACATTCAAAATTACTAAGAAACTTGGTTTTCTTAAAGACTCCATGAGATAAAAATTTTACCCTCCCCACAAGGTGTACAATGAATATGCAGTCTTATAAAATTGTATTGCATGCCTGAGGTCTCATTACATAGTGGAGGACCTGAAGCTGAAATCCAGAGCTACTGGTTTTTTCAACTCTTGAATGTGGGAGATGTAGGCATGAGGGAATAACATTCACATAGGGTGAAATGCACAGATTGTAACTGTATAGTCAGATGTATTTTGATAAATGTATATGCCTATGTAACCATCAGAGTGTTAAAGATATAAACAATTTCTATATCTTCAGAAAGTTTCCTATGCCTATGTGTACTAAAACCTTATCTGTTATTGGGAACAACTGCTTTAATTTCTGTGCCCATTCATCAGTTTTACCTATCTGCAACATAAAAGTAGACCATGTACTACATATCCCATTGTGCCTGACTTCTTTCACTAACATGATTTTTATTTAATATGCACTGTATGTTTCAATAGCCTCTCTTTTATTGATGAATTCATTTTGTACTCATGGTTCTTTCGTGAGTTGTGAGAGAAGCACCTGCAAGTAATATTGTAAACTCTATCTCTAGACATGTATTTATTTTTTAAAGTACTTTATTATTTTTATTTTATGTGTATGCGTGTTTTGCCTGCATGAATGTAAGTGCATCCATGTTGTGAAATGCCCACAGAGGTCAGAAAAGGGCATTAGACACCCCTGTAAGTGGAATTATGGATGGTTAGCCACCATGTGGGTGCTCGTAACTGAATCCAGCTCCCAGCAACTGTTGCTCTTAACCACTGAGCCATCTCTCCAGCCCATAGACATGTATCTCTATATCTCTGGATAAAAATCAGGAATGTAAAATGGCTAACTCTTGAAATGGATCTATATTTAAGTCTAAGGAAACTTCCAAACTGTTTTCCAAGTAAGGGTACCTTTCCACTTTCCCACCAGTAGTAGTAAGAGAGTTCTAATTGCTTAGCATTCTCATCAACAGTACACAATGACAGTCTCTCTGATGTTAAACATTTTATGGGGAGGGAAATGCTCCATCAAGGACTTTGACTTCGAATTTCGCTTCTGAAAAATTATAAAAGCTTGTTTCATGTGCTCACTGGCCTTGGTTTTACATTATTTTGATTGACCCAACACTTGCCTATTTTCATTACTTGTTTTGCAATTTTGTTGATGATTTTTAGATCTTTATGTATTCTAGATACAAATAATTTTCCAGATACATGTTTTTAAAATATGCTTTCATAGTACATAACCTCAATTTTTATCTTGCTATTTATATTTATAGATTAGCATATAATTTTTTGTTTTATATAAAGCCCACTATATAATTTTTTCATGTTTAAAGTTTTGTGACAATTTCTAAGAAATCACTGCCTATATTCCAATATCATAAAGTGTTCCACTATACTTTATAATGAAATATTTATATAAGGCTACAAAAGCATTTACTTTGAAGTCTCTGTCCCATTTCAAATTAGTCCTATGTTAGGGTGTTGGTGTTATAGTGGTGAGCATAGCTGCCTTCCAAATTAGTCTTAAGTCCTAAGTAGCTTCAGTACAGTTAATTCCTGTATTTTAAAATATATTCTTAGCTACTTATTCTGACCACTTGTCAAAACTAAGCTTGAGAAAATTTACTGTGTCTTGCACATTTAAAAAATTGAAGCCAGGGCCCTGATGGACATGTAACCACTATATACGTTTCTGGTACATTATGTGATACCTCTTTAAATACATATGTGTGATGATTATTTCATGGAAATAGAACCACAGCTGATCTTGTAGCCTATGTCAAGAATTCAGCAATTATTTGTACAATCTCAGGAGAATTTTGTGGAAAAAGTTGATATTTGGTTGTGGAAATGACTATTTTACTTCTTTACTTCCAAATTTATAGCTTATTTTTTCTTCTCCCACTCATTCATTGGTTAAAGCATCCAATGTCATGCTAAAACAGGGATGAGGAGAATGAACAGTCTTAAGAGGGGAAAGTTAGAAGATTCATGGTTTAAAATCTACCAGAATATGAAATATACCTTCTATTCATAATATAATATTTACACTAATTGACTTGATTTTTTCTAGTGCATTTACTCTAGCAACTGAAATGGTTTTATTCTTACTATCCTGATGAGGTTTTGGGTTAAGTATAGAGGTGGATTTACATTAAACCAAACTTGTGTTCATAGAAATACTGTATTCTTGTTTTGATATATTTATAAATTACAAGGCTCAATTTGGAATGAATAAAAACTGTCCCAAAATTTGTATTTTTTATAATTCTTTAGAGGTTTTATATTAGTTACACTGATTTCTAACAATAATTTTGGAAGAGTTCTTATATTCTCTAAATGTTGAAAAATTACCTTTAATTTATGTTTTATAAAACATAATAGTGAAGATATCTAGAAATGATGCTTCATTTACCAAAAAGCTTCTTTTTCAGGGCTAAAGAGATGATTGAGTGGGTAAAAAAGCTTGCTATGCAATCATGAGGAACAGTGTTCAGATTCCAGCACTCATAAAAACCTGGGCATGGCTATGTGTACATCTGTCACCCCAGTACTGTCAGGTGGAGGGAAAAGATGATCACTCCTGTTTTTGGCAACCTGCCGGCTTAACTCCAGGTTCAGTAAAAGATCCTTTCTCAAAGAATAAGACAGAGAATGGTAGGACATCCCAGCATCTTCCTCTGGTCTCTTCAAACACACAACCCCACGCATATACCACACACATATACCACACTCATACACACATAAAAGCAGACAGTAAGTTTTTATCGATGATTTCATCACATCTACAATCATAAATTTTTATTTATAGAAATATAAATATTTCTATAAATATTCTATAATATTCTGTTACATGCACATTCAATGTCTTCTCTGT